GATTCTGAGGAACTGAAGGATCATGGGCAGTGTATTAGTTTCCCATTGCTGCTGTAACAAATAACCACAAATTTATTATCTTACAGTTCTAGACGTCAGAAGACTGAAATGGGTCAACAGTGCTGTGTTCCTCTGGAGGATCAAGGGGAGAATCCATTCCTTGCCGCTCACAGCTTCTAGAGTTGGCTGAGACATCTGCTTCTGTTGTGTATCTCCGCCTTCAACTCTCCTGCCTACCTCTGGTAAGGGCCCTTGTAATGAGATGAGGTCATCTGACCCACCCAGAATACTCTCTTCGTCTCAAGATCCTCAACTTAATTACACATGCAGTATCTCTTTTGCCATGTAAAGTAGCATAGGTGTTAGGGATTACAGTATGGGTATCTCTGGGGGACATTATTCTGCCTACCACAAAGAGGCTACACTTTGCAATGAGGTTCAATCAAACCTTCCTTGCAGCATGAATGGTAGAATCTAGAGCAGTTAGACCAGTCAAGGAGGGTAATATCCTGAACGACAAAGATGATCCGAGCTCAACCACAGCTGCCTTCTGTACCCTTCTCAGGTGATCCCTTTTGATAACTGGTGAGAGGGGCAGAACAGAAGTCAAGGATGAGTTGAGGCTAAGTACGAGGTACTGGGTCTGGCGTCCAAAGATCTGAGTTTCAGGAGCATCTTGGGTGGTGACTCTCTGTTTGACCTTGAAAATGCTGCTTTGTTTCTGGGTGAAGTGGAGGTGACAGTTCCTTCCTTGTTGACCTTACAGGAGTATCACAGTGGATATGACAGTGTCTGGTCCGTTGTAATGTGCACACGAGGATGCTAGCTATTGTTGTTGTTGATGATATGATATATTGCTGATGAAAGGGACTGTGGCCCCAGAAGCCAGGGAGACCTGGAAAGACTCCTAGGGTGAAAGGTCAGGGAAGCTCCGAGAAGAAAAGAAACAGAATGTTTCACGGGAGGAACCCTTTAAAGATGGCCTGCAGTAGCCCCAGATCTGCTGGCCCTGACCTCTGGCTTTGATTAAAGCAACTGTCAGATTGCTTTCTACTGTTTGCTAAAGCAAACCTTGATCCAGAGTTAGATCAAGGTCAGTGCTGACAGCCCAGAAGAATTGTTTAATTATTTGCAACTCCTGACTGAGAGGCCCCAAATTAGGCTTAAGTACACAAAAGAGCCCCCACCTTAATTGTTACCAGGACTGATTCTGAGGGTTGGAAATGTAAAGGTAGACATTTTATAGCAAAAGGAGGGGAGTGATTGACTTTGCAGTCCAGGAGCAAAGGTCCCTGGGACCATCAAGGGAGAAGAGCAGAGTGAGAGACCCTACCCAGAGAAGCAGTGACCCCAGACATGGAGGCAGAGACGATGACATGGAGAGATGGAGTGGCTGGGAACTTTAGAGCCAGAGAGGGAGAGGGGCTGTGAGCTGACAACTGGGGGGCCAGGCTTGCAGGGTATACCCTTTGGTTGGTTGATTTTGCATGGAGGGGATTGTAACCATGGCAAGGAAATGATATACGGTAGGATGAATGTAAAGCTAATGTTCTCCCATGTAAACTATCACATAATTCACAATAAAACATTAAAAAAAAAAAAAAAAAAGAGCCCCGCCTTACTCCCAGCAGCCCACAGACTCCCAACACGAGCCCATGTATTGGGGAAGTCTTTGCTGCTATGCAGTATCAGGAGGAAGCAGTGATGGGAGGCCCCACATGCACAGGAGGGGACTGGAGGACCAAAAAAGGAAGGTGTGGAGCCAAGTTCCCAGTGGCAGTCAGGGCAAAACTGCACCCTAGATAAGGTTGCTCTGGCTGCTCCCAGAGTTGGGGCAGGGGAGTGTGATTTCCCCCAACATTTTTCATTTGACAAGAGTCCAAGGTCGAGTCATGGAGTGGGTGGACCCCCAGGATCCCCAGAAGAGGTTCCATCTCAGTAGCACTGATATTTCTATCATCTATGAGGTCCCAGAATCATGAGTACTAGAAGGGTCAGCTGAAGGCCTGAGTCAACATCTACCTGGATGGGCAAAAGGGGGGAAATAATGTGAAGATGCTTGGCTGTTTTTTGAATCATTTTCACTGGCATACCATTATAAAATAGACGCTTGAGGGGGAGAGAAAGGAATAGCCAGAAATATCACCATAGGAAGCTTGTAAGTCTGTCTGCTTCCTGTAACTGATTGGAATACCTAAAATGGGACTACAATTGGAATACCTAAAATGGGACCCACTGAAGGAGGCTTCCTGTGGAGCCTCTGTCTTACATAAGACCATAGGTGGAATCCTGAACTCCATCCAGAATCTTCTGAGGTGGGAAATTTACACTGGAAAGGACAAGCAGACCAACTTGGAGTGGCTAGAAGAGCAGAAGATACTTGTTGAAAGAAAGACCAACAGGAAAAATACAAAACAATAATGGCAGTCTTACTGACCACTTCAAGAACAAACAAGTTGCTCGCCCAGGAGACAGCAAGGCAAGCAGTCGGGTCCCCTCAGGGCAAACCCCCTCCCAAGACTGAGACTCAATGGGAATACGCAAGTAGACAGGCGCTCTGACTGGTGACCACGTTGGTCACCAATAAGGGGAATGAGGGAAAAACAGTAATAAAGCTGCAAACTAAGTCTGACCACATTCAATACACTCCTGTGAACCTGGGTGGAGACCTGGTTGGCCAGCAGTTTGGCAAGACCTGGGGACTCCTGAGCCCAGAGTCAGTGACATAGCCACAGAGGATAAAAGTGGAGAGTGAAGTGTCCAGCAGATAAGAAGAGAGGATATATGCACAAGAACACCCACAGTTGCACATAATACCCACTTGACCTGGCTTCAATGGCTGGATGATCAGAGCTCAACTAGATGAAGAAAGAAGAGGAAAAAAAGAGTAATCTGATACAATTTGATGAACTTGACCTACACCTATGGATGCAGTAGCTCAAAGGAGGGAACAAATCTTTACGGCGCGGATCATTCTCACCCCCTCAATACACATGGTAGACAGGGATTGGCAACTTGGACATTGGCTACCCAAAATGGGGTTGGGGACTACAAAGGCAAGAAGTGACTGGCTTACAAGCTTTCCAGAGGGCACGGAGGAAGGTAGAATCTCCACTGAGTAGTATCCAATCTCTCTGGGCAGGCCTGATGAAAGGAGATGTGGACAGCACCCATGTGGTACAACAGTGAATAATTACTATCAGGACTGACTGTGATGGTTGGAAATGTAAAGGTAGACATTTTATAGCAAGGAGGGGAGTGGTTGACTTTACAGTCCAGGAGTAGAGGTCCCTGGGATCATCAAGGGAGAAAGAGCAGAATGTGGGACCCTACCCAGAGAAGCAGTGACGCCAGAGATAGAGGCAGAGATGATGACATGGAGAGATGGGGCAGCTGGGAACTCTAGACTCAAAAACGGAGAGTTGCTGTGTGCTGACAACCAGGGGGCATGTTTGCGGGGTGTACCATTTGGTTGGTTGATGGTGCCTGGAGGGGATTATAACTAAGGCAATGTAACGATATACAATACGATAAATGTAAAGCTAATGTTCTCCCATATAAGTTCCTATAATTGACAATAAAACCTTAAAAAAAAAAAAAAAAAAAAAGACCCTACCTGGAAAAAAAACTTCTACAAGGAAGGAATTGCAGAAAATGTTTCCAATATGTGTAGGAAAAGTTAAAATTCCTACAAAGACCTCTTGAAAAATGAGAACCCCCCATTCCAGTAAAACAATAAATAGGAGAGCTCTCAATGAACATTGAATGGATGACAGAGTCTGAGCTCACTTGAATCAAAGAACACAAAATAAATGCAGGGACAAGTAGGGTTAATGTCATCGCTCACTTTTACCCACAATCATTACCAGCTCATAGGCCCTTCTCTCTCTGCCTGCATGGGCCACTTAATCCTTTTTATCTCCTTTCTTGCTCCTCCCCAGTCCCCATTTCCCAGTGGTGAACTCTTTTTCTGTCCTTCTGGAGCATAGAACAAGATTGAAAATAATGCTTGGTTCATGACAGTCTCACATCAATGGTTTGTGTGAAGTTCCCTTTTTAAAAATTATTTATTTTTGGTAACACAATAAACACCTGAGAAACCATCCCCTGAAAGAAACAATACCACAGACATTTCCACCACTATCTGAGTGCCTTCCTCATTTCATTCCCCTGGCTTCTGCTGCCGAGGCTGCCTCCATCCTGAATCCTGTGTTTGTCATTCTCCTCTTTCCCTTTCATGTATCCATACTACTTCCAAGTGTTTATTTTATTTCCTTTGTTTTAACTTTATTAAAAGGGTATCATGTTGTGTATATCTTTGTGGGACTTGTAGATAAGTAGACATATTCTAGTGGCATTAGGAGATAGAGACTAACAGGATGATGGTGAGGGGGATGAGGGAGGAATAGGGGATGTTTTAGTCTTAGATGACTGATGGTGTTATTTCATTAGACGCAGGATAGAAGAAAAAGCTGAGCTTTTAGAAGAAGATGATGGGCTCAGTTTTAGGCAAGGCAATAATATAAGTTAACACTAAATGTCTGCTGGTTTAGTGGGTTAAACTGGGTTCAAACCCACTAGCCACTCTTCAGGAGAAAGATGTGACTGTCTGCTTCCATAACAAATACAGCCTCAGAAACCCTATGGGGTAGCTCTATTCTGTCTGTTAGGGTCACAGTGGGTGTGATATGGTTTATCTGTATGCTAGGCAATCTTCTTGTTAAGGGCCATCAAGTCAGTTCCAACTCATAGCAACCCTGTATGGGGTTTCTGAAGAGTGGCTGGTGAACTTGAATCCCTAACCTTGCAGTTCAAACCAACACTGTAGTCCAGCACATTTGCCCGCAGCTAACAACAGATTTGAAGAATTTATAGAACATCCCACAGCAAAAGCAAAGTGGGTTTGAGGAATGCTAGAGAATGTCTGGTTTCACTGCATTCTTTCTTTCAGACCACCATCCAGTCTTCAGAGCTCCAGATCTGGACTTGTTCCCTTAAACATGGCTGCCACCACCACCTCACATCTGTTGCTCACCACCAAGGACACCCATTCTGAGAACAGCAGCTTCTACTATGACTATGACTACTTGGATGAACTGACCTTCATGCTCTGTAGGAAGGACGCAATGCTGTCCTTTGGCAAAATCTTCCAGCCTGTCTTCTATAGCCTGATCTTTGTTTTTGGTCTGGGTGGGAACCTCCTCCTTCTTGTGATCTTGCTCTATTATGTGCCTCGCCGGAGGATGGCTGAGGTCTACCTGGTGAACCTGGCCATTTCCAACCTCTTATTTGTGGTGACACTGCCCTTCTGGGGCATCTCTGTGGCCTGGCATTGGGTCTTTGGAAATTTCTTGTGCAAGATGGTAAGCACCCTCTATACCATTAACTTCTACAGTGGCATCTTCTTCATTAGCTGCATGAACCTGGACAAATACCTGGAGATTGTCCATGCACAGCCCTACCACAGACTGAGGACACAGGCCAAGAGTCTGATCCTGTCTGCCGTGGTATGGGGCGTGGCCCTGGCCATGTCCATTCCGGACATGGTCTTTGTAAGGACACATGAAAACCCCAAGGGTGTATGGAACTGCTACCCAGACTTCGGCGGGCATGGAACCATCTGGAAGCTCTTTCTCTGCATCCAACAGAACATCATGGGGTTTCTCCTTCCGCTCTTTGCCATGATCTTCTTCTACTCCCGAATTGGCTGTGTCCTGGTGAAGCTGAGGCCCCCAGGCCAGGGCCGGGCTCTCAGGATGGCTGCAGCCCTTGTGGTGGCCTTCTTCGTACTATGGTTCCCCTACAACCTTACCTTGTTTCTGCACTCACTGCAGGACCTGCAATTCTTTGGGGACTGTGAGGTCAGCCACCACCTAGACTATGCCCTGCAGGTGACAGAAAGCATCGCCTTCCTTCACTGCTGCTTCACCCCCATCCTCTATGCCTTCTCCAGCCGCCGCTTCCGCCAGTACCTGAAAACTTTCCTGGCCACTGTGGTTGGATGGCGCCTGGCATCTGGTACTACACAGAACTCACTGCATAGCTGTTCTGAGAGCAGCAGGCTAACTGCCCAAGAAGAAATGACTGGCATGAATGAGCTTGGGAAGAGGCAGGCTGAGGGCTCCTCCAACAAGGGGGATGTAGAAAAATTAAGCTGGAATGGCCCAACCACAGTCTGATGAGAGATGATGTTTGATGCGACCAAGCTCACTTAAAACCTTCACCTCTACTGCCATCAGAATTGCTCTCACCAAGAGCTTCAGAGACTACATAGCTAAGTTATTGGTTTCAACTCATATCGACCCACACGACAAAGCAGAACCATCCCATAGGGTTTCCTGTCATCTTTACCAAAGCAAACTGCCACATCTTTTGCCCACGGAGGGATTGGTGGATTCAAACAAGTGATCTTTTGGTTAGCAGATAAGCACTGAACCACTGTGTCACCAGGGGTCCTTTAATGATGGCTACAGAACCAGACAGTTAAGAAGGGCTTGGTGGGTATGGAGGAGACCTGGTAACGCTGTGGGTTAGTCATTGGACTGCTAACCGTAAAGTAGTTGGTTCAAACTCACCAGCTGCTCTATGGGAGTAAGATGAAGCTGTCTGCTCCCATAAAGACTTAGTGTCTTGGAAACCCTAAGGAGAAGTTCTGCTCTGTCCTAGAGAATCACTCTGAGTCAGATTGAGTGATTTGGGGAGAGCGTGGCGGTGTCCCACCCAAAGATCCACCTAGGAATATGTTAGCCTACAGGAGGGAGGTGAAATGACTCCTGTGTTCCAGGGGACCAGAAGACTGCCCTGTGTCTCCCCACCCTGCCTCTCATGCTACAGCTGAAGAGACATTGTTTTGAACTGCAACGTTGGTGGTTCAAACACACCAGCTGCTCCTCAGAACCCCTGTACAGGATCGCTATGAGTCAGAACCAACTCAGCAGCACTTAACAATAACAGCAGTGGTAGGAAGAGTAGATGTGGATATCTTTGTGTGCAACCAGAAGACAGGACCATGAGGAAAAAAATAGAGGCTAGGACCTTGCTCTTTTTGCAGGATAGATATTGTCTTTTCTAAAAAATACCTTCTGCTGAATAGTAAAAAAAAAAGATCAAGTAAATAATTTACATTTCATTAAAAAGAGAGAACCTAAATGTGAGTTCCAGAATTATGAAGATCATCAATGAAAAAATTGGGACAAATGTGAAGGCACTAATGATGGGAATACATGGACTACAAAATATTTTGGAAACCACACAA